TGGGAACCTACCGGTTGCCCAGCCTGGCCCTGGGGGAGAAGGAGATCCCGTGTTTCACGGGCAGGAATCCAGCCCTGGGACCCTGTGCTGCTTGCCCGGGGCTGCTACCATTAATGCAGTCGCACAGGACAGCAGCCCCAGCACCGTGTGCCTGGAATCGGGGGCAGTCAGAAACCTGAACTCCCAACAGAATCATTTAGGTCAAACTCAAGACCAAAGCAAATACTGGTGGATTAGCAATCATATTTCACTGGTAAGTGCTGGACTGCACTATCTCAAATGCACCTTTTTTGTTGATCCATTTTTTGGCAGCAGAGGCAAGGAGAAAATAGGTAGTTTCTAGGTTATTCTGAAGCAAGAAAAAGATGTGGAGCTGACGCATAGGAAAGAATGAATGGACCTGTCGCACCATGGCTCAGCAGCAGCAGTGGCTTTTGATCAGTTTATAGCAATTGGGCCTGATCTGTTCACAACAAATATGGCTGAGTGCTTTTTTTGCAATGCACTGTAGGCCAAGTAAGTGTCTTTACCGTATCTGACAGTTGGAGGTGAACTGGCCAATACTGTACTGGCAATGCTTTGTACAGGAACAGAGGTGTCATCTTTTGTTTGTTTGTTTGTTTTTTAGACAAGAGGTATGTTGACTGGATATTTGAACACAGGATTTCAGTGGCAAAAAATGTGGCGGCCTCTCCCAACAGCAGGAAACCACTGGCTGATGCTCTTGCACAGCATGCCTGCTGCCCCACTGCTGCAGCTGCAGGGAAGGGGTAGAGGAGAGAAGGGGAACAGGAGGGTGGAGGTACCTCCTTAGCTCCATTCCAGTGCCCTTTTCCCCTTAGGCAGTGCCAGGGACTCCTGTTCCTTACCCATCCGTTGCTACGCTACTGCTAAGAGTGAATTTTGGGGAATGCTGGGCAGCCCCCCTCCACCTGGAGAAAGCAAACCCCAAGAATGTACAGGGCGGCATCAGAAGCAGCTGGGGTAAAACAGTCTGAAAGCAGGAGGACTGGCCAGACTACAGAACAGCAGTGTGCTGAACCACCTCCAAGAAAAATACAATTCTGTCAGTCTTTTTAAGACCAGTCTCCAAATGGTGCGTGGACACCAGCGAAATGAAGTTATTCATCAGTAACTGAAGCCTTATGAGATGTATTTCTACATGCACATTCTCCCTGCTGAGTGCATCTTATCCTGTGCACTGGTCAGTGCCTTCACAGTACCTGCAGAGTGTGCTCTAGCCCTGCCTCTTCTTGTGTTTCCACACTGAGGGGGTAATGGTGGGGTGCTGCCAGGACCCAGAGTCCATAGCTGCTGGGGCTGTGTCCCCCCCTTGGTTACGGGACTCCCAACTCCAACTGGCCTTGGTGCATCTGTAACAAGAAGCCAGAAGCCTCCTGTAACTTGAGAGGAATCTGCAGCAGAGTGAGCTGGCTCAAGGAAAGTTAGCAGCTAAAGAACTAGCTACCTGCTAGCCAAGTTGTAGCCAGAAGCCAGCAGTAACAGACAAGCAGGACAGCTAGCCAGGCTGCTTGGGGGCTAAGAACTGCAAACAGCAGCTAAGCAGCCACAAGGGCAGGCAGGAAAGGCCTTGTATTCAGAACAAACACACTAGTGATCACTGCTGAGCGGAAGGGGGCAGGGCTTAGCATGTCCATAAGCACAGGGCCTGAGCCTGCAGTCACTCTGGCCCGGGAGAGCTCTGGGGCAGGGGGAATGCTAGAGGGCTCCTGGCTAGGGCTATCTTAACTAAAGCAAACAATACAATACTGCTACCCCACAGGGGAGTATTACCTGGGGTAAGGTGAAGCCTTGTTATGCAGGCAGATAACTATTGTTTATGTTTGGACCCAGAGGGCATTTAGTTTGTGTTAGCCAGAAGGTTTCCACTGTGGTTAGTTTCAACTGATGGTTTGGGTGTAGCAAAAAGGGAAGCATGCGGAGACTACGGCAGGGCACCAGAGGAGTGTAGTGTGGGCTAACATACAGCGGGGTGCCAAGGGCATGCTAGCTTTTTGAGCCTTGCTAGAGGGGCTTTGGTTCAGGACACCATAGACTCGGGCCTGAGAGGCAGGCTAAAGCCTAGAGGCAGTCTGACAGGGGAACTGAAGCCTGGTACAGCTGCAAGCCAGCTAGGGCAGGGGGGCCAGGGCCCAAGTGGGGACAGAGCCAGGGCAAGGAGGCCCTGTGCACTTGAAAGACAGGCAGGGCCAGAGGGTCCAAAACCAAGAAGAGCATAGCCAAGACCAGGAGGAGAAGGGCAGGAACCTGGCAGCTTAAAGGAAAGTGGAGATAGGGCCAGGGGCCCAGCAGCCCAGAAGGGCAGTGCCTGGACTGGAGCCCAGAAGCTGGATCCAACAGTGGATTTAAGTTGATCAGCCCAGCAAGAGAGAAGGGATGGAGGTGAAGTCACAACAAGGGGAAACTGATAGGATGAGACACACCTGTGAGGCTTGGGCATGCCTAAAAGGGACAATGAAGAGGCCATGAAATTGCCCTTAAGGTGGTAAACAATTGGACCATAGCCTGTGAGCAGATGGGATCTTGCTTGGGGATCCTTGGGGCAGCTTCCCTTTTACAAGTACATATTTACATCAAAGTGTAGGAAGTGAATAGAAAGAGGGGATGCCCGATTAATAGGGCAAGATGGGGGAATCATTGCCACCCCTGGGGCTGACCCTTTGTTACAGCAGCCTTGTGGCTGGGAGCCCAGTCAACTAACAGGGCTCTCAGTTGAAGGGATGACCCTGCTATATGTGCAAATTAAAGCTGGATACCAACCAGCTATAAAGTTAGAACTTGAAATTATGTACTAACTTTATAGCTGTCTGGACCTTTTTATGGCCTAACACTCAGCACGTGTAGCTGGCTTCAATTAAAGTGCAATTAACCTGCTAATTGTGCAATACTTGTAATATATAGAGGGGGCCTGAAGTGCAAATCTACTCTGAGTTCTTCCTGTAAGGAAGAATACCAGCAAGTTAATCCGCTGCCCCAAATGAAGAGTTACTTTATCTGGGTAGAAGATAGTGTAGAAAGGATCTGCCATGAGTACTCAGATCTCACTGACTTGTCTTGCCAATACAATTGCTACCAAGAAAGCTGTTTTCACAGAGAGGTTTAGAAAACAGCTCCATACAATGGGATCAGAACATTTATCTGAGGAGAGACCTTAAACAGGCCCTTGAGTAATATGAGGGCTGTTAAATGAGAGAATGTGAGCTACTTTTTGACTGGCTGGTAGAAAGCTGAGAGTGCTGCCAGCTGTATCTTAGCCTGGGTAATGGAAAGGCTGTTATACTTTAAATGCAGCAGATAATGGTACAGTAGACCTGGTCAGGTTGATATTCTTTGCCAAAAACCTAGTCCATTATGCCAAGTACTTAAGCTTGTGGAGTCCTTTCTGCTATGGGTAAGAATCTCTGATTTGAACAGAACATTCTTACTCTGTCTGCAAGAGCCATCCAGTATTCAAGCTATGGAAGAGACAGACTGGCAGTCCACATGGAGGATCTCCCCTCTTCTATGCATTAGCAGGCCTCTCCTTTGGTCCATGAAAAGCTGGTATATGTACCTTCACACCTATGAGCAAGAATACTCCCAAGGATTGGAGAGAGGCCCTTGAATCTTTCAGTTTGGGAGAGAAATCATCAGTCCTATGGAAGATGAGCTTTATGTCCTCAAACAGGAGGTTTCCACTGTAGCCTGGATCTTCTTGAGGAAGCCTAATTCCTGCAACTATGATGATGGGTGCCTAGTCACTGCTGATGCCACAAACCTGGCTGCAGCATCTATTATGTCCAGGGCAACCTACAGGGCTATCTTTGCCACCAGTTGTCCCTCTTAAGAGTAAGAACATCAGATCTTTCCTTCTGTCCAGAGTAACTGAGTTTGTCAGGCCCATTAACTTCCCATAGATGCAAAAGTTTTAACAGGCTAAAAGCAATTGCGAGAAAGTTAAACAAAATACAGAATTGGGATACAACAGTAGCAACAACAGAAGAAAGGTCAGAAACTGAAAATACCCAGAAGAGATTAGATCTGTTGTTAGAGAATCATTCCTACGGAGAGAAGGCAGGCCCAGTCACGAGAGACAACACAGAAAACAGAAGGGTGTGCTATCTACCAGGAGCAAAGATATGGGACCTAAATCTGAAGTTGAAGAAGGTTCTGATGAGAACAGGGAAGAATCCATATTTCATTCTTTGTGGGGAACAATTATGCTAGGATGATGAA